ACGAGACAGCTGCCTGGGAGCGGGCAGGTATCCCAGATATTGAGATCGATTTACTCGACGAGGACAAATCGAAGGAAACAGAGGTCGACCGGGCTGCCCGAGAGCTTGGTCAGCTGAAGCTCGAAGAGCAAAGACAAGCAGCTCGAGATGAGTCCGCTCTTGCTCTCGAGCGAGGCGAACCAGATGCATCGCGGAGCAAGAGCAAGAAGATGAATATCACACTGAAGGAGAATGATCCTAAAGCGCCATCCACTGCGTCTGACAAGCCCGAAGTCTACGATGACGAACATTTGCTTGTTGAGGGTTACAGAACAAAACTCAACCTGGAGGATAAGAAAAAGGAGTAACAAAATCATGTCTTGGGTGTTCGTAGCATTTATTCGTACGATAAGCGTTGGCGACTCATGTATCATAAGCAGGGTCATAATAAGGATAGGAAGATACCCCATCAAAACGCCGGCAAATACTGGTCCCATTAATGTAGACAACAGCATCACAGTCCCTCGGCTCAGTTCCTGAAACGTGCGAACTGGCCTTGGGCAAGGTCATATTCACAGAAGCAAGGAGAGTAATTGGCGATCAAGCGTCATCTCTAGAGATATCCAGAGAATCGGCGACACCTTGGGGGGTCGAAAGATCTTTCTTTGAGACCTATGCACTCACTGTCCTAAGACGCCAAGTAGTGAAACCCTGTAAATGCCAGACACCCATCATAATAATCCCAAATACCAATTTTTTAGTCGCGGCGAGGGCGGTCGCCGTATCGTCGTCCACCACGCTCGGGAACCTGCTGCTGAGTGACGGGGATGACGTTGACGGGAATAGACTCGAACTGCATGTAATGTTAATATCTCGTCCGGTTTGTTCAGATTTCGTAGGGGTACATACGCCAAGGTGCTTGAGGAGGTCCTTGGTCTCGCCATCGACGTCGAGCTGGCCGCTCTCGGAGTTCTGGGTGAAGTCCAGAGCAGAGACCTCAGGAACGTATTGATCCTTGCGCTCACGCTCCTCCTCCTGAAGCTTGAAGGAGATACCGCGGACGGGTCCACGCTGAATTCGCTTCATCAAGTGGGTGGTGTAGCCGGCAATCTATAATGATCCTCAATCAGTCGCTGTCCTCGGTCGCATTTCGTCTAGCTGGTATTTCTAACCTTGTTGCGGAGGCGCTTGGAAGCAATGATAGCGATCTCATCACAGATACGCTTGTTGGTCTCGAAGTCCAGGGTGAGCTTGGGGTAGTAACGCTCAATGATGACCTTGGCGGACTTCTTGACAGTCTTGGTGCGAACGCGACCCATTTTGGCGGTATTGGACTGTTGGACGTTGGGGGATAGCTTTGAAGAAAGTCGCTGGTATGAGAATTCCGCTACAGCTAGAATTTTGGTGTTGAGTGGGTGGGGTCGCTCCTTCTTCGATTTAGGGCTCGAATCACGTGTGTACGTAGCGAATCATTTCCGCTTAGCTAATGGACCTGAGGTAAGCGGAGCTGCTACATAATTGGTTATAGAAATGTTATGCATTGATGCAAGCTCGAGTCCATTTTCATTAACATCCATTGAAGCTATTATGAGTCTCTCAGGACAGACAGATCCTAGATTGGGTAATTGCTTCAATTCTATTTGTACAGTTGTTTGGTACATATCTCCTCTAAACATCAGAGAAAATAAATGGCATCGATATACATTGCTTCAGCCCTCATCCTTAACTCATGTACTTTATTGCTTGTTGTCGTTATCAAGACCGTAGTTTTTGGAGCTGCTCACAGAATCATTTTCGGGTGAAGAAGCAGTGTCATTACCAATAAGCTCATCGGCAACACGCTCGGTTCGCCAGGGATCAGCTTCGTCGCTCGTTTTCTTGAGTGTTTGCTTTGTCGCATTGTACACTTTTGCACGGCCCTGAGCTTCTCGAGCAACAAGTTGGGCCTCAGTGTTGGCTTCTCGGAGTTGCAGTACGACCTTTCCACTAGGGTCGACTGTTGCAGTCTCAGGGCTGACATATGCCTTGGCACCACCAAAGGTTGTTGTGTCAAGATGTGTAATACCAGTAAGCATCTTCTTGTTCGCCGAAACCCTGTGACGGGAGTCTCTGGTATTGAACTCATTGTCTCCTGGAGGGGAGTCGGCCACAAAACCACCAACACCAAGTTTGGCAGGTGAGGGGCCTTGCCTGGGGTAAACTACTCGAGCGAGCGTAGGAGTGCGCTGCTTTTGAGGTCCGTAGACAGGATGGTTCTCCATATAGGAGTTTGTCCTCAGATAACTAATACCAGCAGAGGGGTGGCTAGGAGGAGGTCCAGACTTTCCGTAAGGACTCTCAGCAGCCGCATTCTCTCCGCCGGCGAGGAAGGTCTGGATAATGCCAACAGGCTGGCCAAGAGGAGCAAGGTCAAGGAACTTGGAAACTAGGCCGTACAGTGTAGCACGGTCACTTCGCAAAGACCGCACATAGTCCGTGAACTGATCCTCGGTGATGTCTGAAGGGTAGATCTTGGCTGGCGCGGTGTTACCCTGCTCCATGGCAGCCGTGGCTCGTTTGGAGTTTAGAGATTCAGCAAGTCTCTCTTTGAGCAGTTGCCTGAACTGAGCTCGCTTAGGTCGTACGTTCTTGTTGAGATATCCGAGGAAGTCACCCTCAGTCATCCTAGCCAGCCACGGTCCCTGGAACTTCCATCGCTTGTCATCAATTCGTCCTTTGCGATACTCAGTAAAATCAAGGTCCTCCTCAAAGACGGATTTTCGCCAGGCATCATTCCTCACAGATATGCCACTTCTCTCGTTTCCTTTGGGGATCGAAAGGGGAATGCGCATTTCCTGGAACTTCTCAAGAGAAAGGGTATGGTCGGCAGCAGAAGCGAAGTCGGTAACGTTTTCGATAGAATCGACCTGGCTGACTCGGATCAGGGGTGTTGAGGTCGTTAGGGTGGACTTGAGAGGAAATGGTCGCTTGAAGCCCCAGTCACCCTTTTCCCGAGACGAAAGAGGAGATGTGATGGATTGGTACTGCGGGTATTGTCGTGTCATCGTGGGAGACTTGTGATCGCCAATGTGCAAGTTTGTCGACTGAGGCTCGGGCAATGGCTTGGGGAGGGAGAAGAGTCGAGAAGATCTCAACAATGCCCCTCCGGGCGAAACAGCGCGACCCCCCATTTCGACTCAGAGACCGTTTGGTGAGCTGAATTGGCTTGCCGTCCTGGTATCTTCGTGACGGGCAGTACCCAGGCGTATAGCTGAAGTCGACGAAAATTCGCTGGAGGTTGAAGCTTGGGCGGAATCTACCGATGATGGCCCGGAAAGTGTCTCATTGGCCAATCAGCTCAGCGCTTCGATCTTCTTGTGATAGCACTAAGCCCCACTGAAACCCTGTCTCTCATGGATGCAACTTCCATTTTATAAAAAAAACCCAGTCAAGCGACTAACACGACGGAGAGGAGAAAAGCGTTTGTCATTTTCCTTCTCTCATCGTGATACGCTTTAGGATAAAGCAGATGCAAGCTATCAAGAGGATGGCGTCATCATCAAACATTTACAAGTCACCTGCCTTGACGCACGAGCTTGTTGCAAAATGCTCCGTGAGTCTTACAGTTTGGTGATGGCTTCATTTAGCCGTTGAAGCCAGGGTTGAAGGGTCTAAGGCTAATATACATATTTCGACGTAGACAACAAGAGCTCGGGCATCAATATTGACTCTTCCTCATGGCGTCGTACAACTTCCTATGTTCATGCCTGTCGCAACTCAGGCGTCTCTGAAGGGCATTACTCCTGAACAGCTTGAAGAGACTGGCTGTCGGTTATGTCTGAACAACACATACCACCTCGGCTTGAAACCAGGACAAGAGGTCTTGGATGCGATAGGTGGAGCGCATAAACTTCAAGGATGGAACCACAACATTCTGACTGACAGCGGAGGGCAAGCTTTTCTCTATGTTGATGAGAATGTGCCAGACTAACATTGACTTATAGATTTCAAATGGTCAGTTTGTTGAAACTTGCAACTATCACTGAGAAAGGTGTTGAGTTTCTGAGCCCTCATGACGGAACACCCATGCTACTTACACCGGAGCATTCCATGTCACTGCAAAACAGTATTGGCAGCGATATCATGATGCAGCTGGACGATGTGCTTGTTACAACATCTCCTGACAAAGCACGTATGCGCGAGGCCATGGAACGAAGTGTGCGATGGTTAGATCGATGCATCGCAGCTCACAAGAAACCCGAATCACAGAATCTCTTCTGCATTATCCAAGGAGGCCTCGATCTCGATATGCGACGAGAATGCTGTCGCGAGATGTTGGCTCGTGATACCCCAGGCATCGCCATTGGTGGATTAAGTGGTGGTGAGGCCAAGGCTGATTACTGCAGAGTTGTAGCAGCTTGCACAGAACTGCTCCCTGATCTGAAGCCGCGATACGTTATGGGCATTGGCTACCCTGAAGATCTGGTCGTGAGCGTGGCGTTGGGAGCCGACATGTTCGATTGTGTGTGGCCAACAAGAACAGCCCGATTTGGCAATGCAGTCACAAAACATGGCGTCTTGAACATCCGTAACAAGAAATTCGCTACTGATTTCGGACCTGTCGAGGAGGGTTGCAACTGCATGGTCTGCAAGTCAACCGCTGAAGGAGGGATGGGTGTCACTCGGGCATTTGTCCACCACAACGCCTCAAAAGAGACAGTAGCGGCGCACTTACTGACCATTCACAACGTCTATTATCAACTGAACCTTATGCGACAAATAAGGGAGGCCATTATGGAGGATCGATTCCCTGCATTCGTGCGACAGTTCTTTGCTTGGCTTTATGCTGATAAAACAGAGTATCCCGAATGGGCAGTTGGAGCATTGAAGGGGGTCAACATCGATTTAACATCGGAATAGAAGCATATGCGGCAATCAAGAGGCGTTGGTAAAAAGTTGATTATGGATAACGAATAAGATTCTATATACGAAGGCGTTTCAAATGCCAACAAGGATATCCTGATAAGACTGCGAATTGTCCACGAGTTCCCCTACAGCATTTCATTAAATAACCCAGATAAGTCGTTAGATCCAACACGTCTTCTCGGAAACGGAAACTCATTAATAAACTACATCGCTTCTCGGTTCAATCGTCATGACAGCTCTTACAGAGCAATAGCCAGAGCAGCAACGGCAGCGAGGACAGCACCGAAGCCAACACGAGCGGAGGAAGCGCTGTTACCGCTGTCGGTGCTGGAAGGCTGAGCAGGAACTGTGACTGTGACGGGGACCACGTTCTGCTCGCTAGTGGAGGCATCGTTGTCGTCGCCACCGGAGGCTCCAGTCTGGCGGGAGCCGGAGTCCTCGGTGGTGTTGGCCTCGTCGGTCTCGCTGGACCCAGAGTCTTGAGTGCGAGTGACAGAGGGGGAGCAGACGTCGTCGAAGCGGTCGCAGAATGTAGCAAGGTTCTTGGCGACTATTGTTGGGTTAGTCTAGGCTCGGATCGTTTCAAGTGAGACACATACCAGAGTAGGCGGTCTTGGGCTCGCCAGTTCGTGCCCAGTCAGCACAAGTGGAAGCATACTTGTCAAGCTCATCGGTCCAGGTTCGGCGGGAACCAGAACCACGGCAGCTTATAAAATGTCAGTCCAGGTCAATTTGCCGTGCTAGTGAGTGACTTACCAGTAGCACTCGGCCTGCTCCCTGGGAGGAAGCTCAGTGAATTGACGATCCTCAGCTGTGCAAGAGGTGAAGATGTCGAGCATGTATAAACAGGCTGCAGCGTAGGTCTGCTCAGCAGGGCTGGTGGCGGAGGTGATGGTAGAGAGATCTTCATCATCTGAAGTTGCTGTAGGACTGCTACCGCTGGCAGAACCACCACTGCCACCAGAACCGCCGGTACACCTGGCGTTCAATCTGCAAGCGCTATACAGAGTACCATAAGCTAAAACAGCTTGTTAGAACATTTCCCTCTCTTCGTGACTAGAAGGAAAACTCACCTTCGTATTGAGAGGTGTTCTCGGGAGCCTCATCCTCGAGGTAGTTGGAGCAGACTGAGTAAAGAGGAGCAGCGTTGCTGCGTCCATCACAGCATGCGCAAGCAACGAGGGCTGAAGGATCAGCAGTCGCAGCAGCGTCGAGACCACCGACAGAAGAAACACAGTCCTGGACAATTCCAACAGCTTGCTGGCAGGTCGAGTATTCGGGGTCGCTAGGGTTGACGGCGTTGTTTTGGAAGACATGAGGACCCAAACCGAGGGCAGCAAAAGGCATCGATGTGATCTGAGCAGCGGCACCGCTGGCCAGGACGGAGAGAACAGCGCCCTTCATTGTGAAAATTGGGTATTCGAGGTATGAAACTGGTGAAAGTCGAATATCTTGAGTCAATGCTAGGGGTCGGAGTCAAGTCCAGGCAAGACAGTCACTTCTACAGATGAATATGAGCGAAAAACACCAATTCCTTCAAAAAGCAATCCTCGGGGAGTGGAGGGCCAACAGTCGGGAATTTATTCACGACGCCAAACATGGACTCCAGACACACATGACGCTAGGAAGCTTGCGGACAGGGTGATGAGCTAGCTCCGGGCTTCACGCAGCCACGAGGCAGAGTCTCCAGGTGTTCTGGGGCCAATATGACCAATTAGCAAGTGCGCCATGGTGCGGCTGAGATGTGATTAGCAGGATCTCTTGGAATTGCATGCAGAAATCTGGTGGTTAAAGTCCGTCGCCTCTTAGACACAGAGTTACAACGGGACGGACGATGGAGGCAGACCAGGAGTGCCCTGCAACTGGGGACGATTCACGAAAGAGGAGTGGAGGAAAAAGCCACTCGGGTTGAGATGTTCTCTGAGCTAACCCAGATAAAATCGACAAGGCTTTGCAAGGGCTTCAGGTGGCCCCAGCAAAAAGACCCCAGCTTGTCCACCCAAGAACGTTGAAAGTCAGGACGATGAGAGTCTGGGAGAGATTGCAATGCCGTTTTCCGCTCGCATTGTCTGGGCAGACGTAAACGATGTATTAAATCCGCAGGCTTGGCAAATCAAGGGTATCAATTTGCTAATGCTGTGTCTCCTCGCAGAAAAAGAGAGGAGCATAAGGGGCCCGCATCGCACAGCATCTTTGGCGTTTTTGTGAGCACGTCGTTGGATAGAGGGTGGACGCCCCTGCCGATGTGCAGATTATGGCTGCATCGTTAGCATCAATATCGAGAAGTACGTGCTATTACTCGGTGGCTTGATCAAAGGAGGATATTCGACGACCAGCCTTGATCTAGATTCAAAGCTTCAGCTTCATACCAACATATGTCATAGATCCAGTGAAGAAATTCCTCGACCTGAAGCTGGTATGGATAGACAAGACCTCGCAAATCACTCAGCCCTGTTTGTGATGCAAGGTATTTATTTAACCATTTAGTCATAACGGGAAGTTTATTTTAGAGCTCATTTTGCTGCTGACCACTAACAACTAATACGGATACTCGGAGCTCATTTTTAGATTAGATGCGGTTACTTGTCACTCTCAATTTAATCTATTGAAGCCTAATCTGAGTTATCGGCATCTCTTCTCAAGTTCAGCTGTCCCCTCAATATCATCATGTCTACAAGTTCGGATGAGAAGAGACAAACAGCGGCTTTCATCCGCACCCCAGCGTAGTAGCGCATCCTTCAAAACGCCCGACCAAGCGGAAACAAAGTCATGCCAGGTTCAAGTCAGCCTAGCCTAGCGAAAGAGACAGGACCGTCGATAGTGGACCAGAAATGTCTCGGCAACATGGGGCGATTGGGACTGGGGTCATTTTAAATGTGAGGGGTCCAGTTGTCGAGGGCCACGAGGGACCTTGATTGAAGAAGAAATGAATTTCCGTGACTGGAAAAAACTCACTGTTTGTTAGCGGTGAGTCCAACGTTTCGTTTCTTGCTCGCCCAGGTTACTCAGTTGAGCTTGGGTCAACGCATCCATGTCACTCTGGGCTTGGGCTTGAGTGCATACATGATCCTTATAGCCGTGATTCTAGACTTGGCCGACAGAACGGCAAAGTGCTTTCTGTTTTAACGGTGTCTGTGAGATTGTGTCATTGGCAACCATTTGATCTCGTATTCTTAGGCCGTTGACTCCAAATACTGGGGATGAGAGACAATGAGCTGTATTGTTTGTTGGATATTCAGCCGGTAATGGAATCAAGCATATTGATAAGTTTCGATCAAGATCTGGTAGGTAACTTACCGCTGACTTTAATTTATCTGATCTTTCAGTGCTTCCGAACCAACAGTCTGACCACATGCAACAGAAAGAAACCAACAATGTACGGATATAACCCCTTTGTTTATTCGCGGTTTACCGATCTTGGGTATACCACGGCTACTATGAGATTTTGACATCTGCAATATGTAAATCACTATATATTATATAGATCGTATTATTAATCTAGACGTTGAGAAATATCCTCTCTTCTTACGATCTTATAGTAAGAGACCTTTCAGCAGCCGGAACTTGAGAAGCTTGCTGCCGCTCTGTGCGACAAACATTCAGGAGTTGATGAACTGTTACCGTAACTACGGATACCTACCTGTATTCTGGACGTTCTCATTTTATATACCACTCACGATAGACTTTTGTTGTGGGTTTAAAGACCCAATAAATTTCTCCTTAATGTCGCTATAACAAGATACAATCTCGCTCAGTTGTCTACTCCATTTCTTATAAACGACGTGAACCCCTCCAAACTGTACGGAGTAGCTCACTGTTATTTACTAGCACGCCTAATGCGGTAGTCTCCAAAACACAGCAGCGTCATAAACTCCAAACACGTGACCCTAACGCGTTACTCCAGACGCGATCTGGTCCCTGAACAAAGGGCAAAGACGTCACACACCGACATCCACATCTCGATCACAAAAAGGTTCAAGCCCAAGTCCAAGCACAAGCCTTAGAGGACCTGCAGCTGGAGCTATTCCAAAGGCGACCAAAGGGCCATTTGGCTCTGACTTTTTCTTGTCTTTGCCCCATAACTTACTTACCTCCACTACCTTGATCAACCCCGCTACTCTTTGTTTCGTACCATTTCGTCTTATCGATATTCCTCATCCGTCGACTTCAGCCTCATGGCTTCGCCAAACCGCCCATCGCTGTCGGTTCGGCGGCAGTCTTCCGCACGGAACCTCAGACAACCCGAACATGACGACTTGACTCAGTCTTTGAACCAACTCTCTATCTCCACTTCGCCCGGCCGAGCTCCGTCCCGCCTCTCCTCCGAACCAGCGTCTCCCTTCCGTCCATCGGGTCGTCGCACGTCGCAGTCGCCTGCGCCAAATGCTCGGGCTCTGTCCCGAAGTCCGTCACAAAGCCGCGATGCTTCTCGGGACACACCTACTCTACTACGAAAGGCTTCTATGAACTCGTTGCGCTCATCTAACGGTATCGGGCCCGGTTCGACCCCTTCGAGACGTTCCAGTGTGGTGCATCACATATCACCAACTCAGGCCAAGTCGCCTCTATCATCTAACCCCCCTGTGCTGGAGAAACCTCGACCAACTGCGGTTTCCATTGCACATGACAACTTGAGCGACGAGCTGCAGGCGCATCATGGCGCAACATCCACTTGCCCAACACAGATGATCGTAGTGCTAAACGATGCCGTCTATGGACATCGCTTCTCCCGACCCCGAACTTCTCGTGCCGCTCTCAGTACTATCGTGGAACGTCCAGAAAGAATAAGGGCTGCTGTGTTGGGTATATCTGCAGCGTATGTTCGCTTGGGTGGCAGACACTCTGAAGGCGAATATCCACTTCACCCAAAGAGAGAGGCCGAGGACATTCATGGCATCCCATTCCGGATTCATAAGACGGAGCGTAGACTTTCTCTTTTGTCACCAGCTGTAGTTAATGTGCATGGGACAAAATGGATGGAAGAGCTTAAGATGATGTGCGATGCAGCCGAATCAAAGCTTGCAATGGGGGGAAAGGAGCTGCAGAGGCCACAGATGAACAGAGGTGCCGAGAAAGCTGACAAATTTCACGAAGGTGATCTCTACCTTTGCTCAGAGTCTCTGAACGCCATGGAAGGTGCTCTGGGAGCTGTTTGCGAAGCCATCGACACTGTTTTTGGTTCCGGGCCTCAGCGGGCATTTGTTGGCGTACGACCTCCAGGTCATCATTGTTCTGCCTCCTACCCTTCTGGTTTCTGTTGGGTCAACAATGTTCATGTTGGTATCATGCATGCAGCTCTCAACCACGGGCTCACGCATGCTGCTATCATTGACTTTGATCTTCACCACGGCGATGGTTCTCAAGCCATTACATGGCAGCACAATTCTCGAGGAAACAATGCTGCCAAGAATGCTGCAGCATGGAAGAAGTCCTCAATTGGCTACTTTAGCTTGCATGATATCAACTCGTATCCCTGTGAAATGGGCGATGAAGAAAAGGTTAGGAGCGCCAGTATCTGTATCGACAATGCACACGGACAAACAGTTTGGAATGTTCATCTGGAACCTTGGAAGTCCGAGGAAGAATTCTGGAAACTCTATGAGACCAGGTATATTGTCCTCTTGGACAAGGTTAGAAACTACCTCAGGAACCAGGCGGACCGATTGAGAGATTCAAACTTGCCTCCAAAAGCTGCCGTCTTCTTCTCTGCTGGCTTTGATGCCAGTGAATGGGAGAGCGCGGGAATGCAGCGTCACAAGGTTAACGTGCCGACCGAATTTTATGCCCGTATTGCCCAGGATGTCGTCAAATTGGCAGCTGAAGAGGGCCTTCACGTTGATGGTCGAGTTATCAGTGTGCTAGAAGGTGGCTATAGCGACCGAGCTTTGTGCTCAGGTATCCTAAGTCATCTTAGTGGACTGGCTGGAGATCAAACTTACGCTCAAGAACCAGACAACGTTGGCCGTCTTGGTGTGGAGATGGGACAGAAGATCGGATCCCTTTCAGGAGAAATGTCATACAGTTTCGAGCAAAAGCCGTCATTGGACTCCGTTCATGCTTACGACCCATCATGGTGGTCGCCTTCTCATCTGGATGAGCTCGAGGCTTTGATGGAGGCTCCAAATGGTCCGGCCAAGAAGCCGCAGAGCGCTACCCTCCCAACCTACTTTTCACCAACACAGGCATCAACTGCTAAGGTCTCAGATCCCATTAAGATGCGACGTAGTTTGTCCAACTTGGGTGCGTCTATGACCAGGCCTCCATCACCACCTCCGCCAGAAGTTCCTTGGGCAATTGCGGCTCATGAACTCAACAAGCTTCTTATCCCTTCTACGCGCCAAACTGATAGCTGTAAGCCTGAGGATCTGAACGCAGAGGCAAGCAAGGCGAGGCGAGATCGCCAATCGATACTCATGGGTATTGATCCCAATCCTCCCGCTGCCCCTTCTTCGCGTCCAACCTCACGCATGTCTCTACGTGAGAGACGAGCCAAGGCAGCACCTCCTTCCGAGCCAACTACTGAAAAGGCGTCCACAAGCCGCAGAAGAACAATGGGCGCTGCTCCCATCTCTTCGGACAAGGTTAGTTATAAACTGTCGTGTAATGCAGCAGAGCTAACTTCTTCAAAGGCGGTTGCTCGCGGTGTTCCCTCGAGGACCAACAGCGGTGAACCGGCAGTGAGGAGGACCAGTCGACGTCTTAGTGAGATTCCGGCATCCCTCACAAGAGACGTATCACCGGGCGAAGCAGATCGGCCTGAGGTGGTGGAGCATGCTCGTACAGTCCCTAACTCACCCATGAATACGAAATCCGTTGCCAGCAACAATCCTCCAGTCAAGAAGGCAAGGAATCCCACGGCCCCCCGCAAGGAGACTGCAACAAGAGCACCCCGGGGTACCAAGAAAGCTACTACTGCCGCTGGTCCTTCGCGACCTGCCACAGCTACACAGAAAGCCAAGTCGCCGGCCAAGGCTTCGAAGAAAGACGGTGCATCTAGCACAGGCGGCGATGATATTGACAGCATCACCTCGGGTATGAAGAAGATTCGCATCAACTTGATCACTCAGTCCCAGAAGGACGCTAAAGAACGAGCTCGTCTTGAGGCCGAGAAAGCTAAGGGCAAGGAATCTTCTATTACTTGCAAGCCTGAAGCTCAGAAGCCTGCGACAGCATCCTCTAGTGCCCAGCGCTCGTCAAGCGCCACTAACCACGACCAAGCCTCTATTGCTGTTCCTACCGAGGCGCAAGATATCTCTCCTACTCAACCTGCACCGGGCAATGCCCGTATCCCTTCACCACCTACCACTGCCTCTTCAAGCAGAATTATGTCTCCCTCACAAGAGCAATACGCTTTTGAGTCTACTGCGCCTGTCACTCAGCTGGTGTCTCCTCCTCTGAGTTCTCCTGCTATTCCCTCTGTTTCCGTGCACCCTAGCACGGATGCAGACGATATTTTCGTTCCTTACCAACCCGAAGGCCCTGCGCCTGAGCCCGTCGCTCAGAGCGAGCCTTTAAAGTGGCTTCCACCTAACGTACCAACTCCTTCTGAGCAGACGCCTGTCGCAACGCCTAGCCCTGCCAAGAAGAGCAATCTCTTCCAATACACTTCCGGTATTCCTTTTGCCCCTCGGCCCGGGCAGGGAGCCAGTGAGCCCCAGGCCGCAGAGCAGGGTGTTAAGCCAGAGCCAAACCCGCCCAGGTCTATCGAGGAGATTCCCGAGACGCCTCAGTATTAAAGATGATGATATTTCTATTACAGGCACTTTGATCTTCTGACATATGGATAGCTGGCCGTCGGATCTGTCACAGCACACCTTGGGAAAGAAGATGCAAGTGAGAGTTGGTACCCGATTTTGTCGCCATGGTGTTTCTTTTTCTATCAGAGCTTTACAACACATCCTTCTTATGCCTGGATGTATAGTCTTCTTCGCGATACCCTATTCCTCTTCCTTCTGGATCAGACCTCTTCTCGTCTTGCTCTATAGTTCTAGTCCTGTTTAATCTATGACTTTATGGCTTTCTATTCTAAACCAATAGCCTGACCACGTGTATCTTTTATGGGAAATTCTCACGGAACGCACTCAGAGGAACACTGACTTCCTCGACGTTTGCTCTTGTCGTTCCCTCCATGCCAGGATTAGGCGCTCTCTTAAGACACCAGACCTCCTTAACGCCCAGACTCTCGAGATAAGTGACTGTTCGAGCATAGTTGGTGGCAACTTGTGCAATGCCATGACTGTCATCGCAGAAAGTGAACTTTCCTCCCATCTTAATCCATTCCTGTGACTAGTTAGCTTTTATCCGGGCATATCCCACATGATGAGATGGTGTACAACTTACCTCGGCAATTATCCTACCAGGATAAGGTTCAGCAAGTCCCTTTCTCAGTCCCGCGCTGTTCACCTCAAGCCATCCATCCTGCTCCCTCGCAAGAGCCAGATTTCGCAGAATGCGCTCCCAAACACCCTTCCACTGCCGAACATCCCGGGCTGGATCTTGGCTCATCAACCGCACGAGATCAAAGTGTCCTACAACGCGCGGGCGCAACTCCTTGAGCATTTCGTACTGAAGATCGTAGTAATCCTCATACAGCGACTCTTCGGTTTTGCGACTGCTTGCTTCGCGAGCTGTGGCGAACATCTCCTTGTTGTAGTCAATGGGAGTGTTGTGAACATAATGCACTGAGCCGATGAAGTAATCAATGATAGGATGCTCGGCTAGTTTGCGAACGTGTGCTGCGCATGTTGGACGGATGAACTCAGCCTCGAAGCCAATGAGGATGTGGATTTGTGAAGCATACTCGTGCCGAAGGCGTTGAGCTTCAATGAGATATGCTTCATGACGAGGAGGAAGAGCTTCTAGAGCTGCTTGAGGGTTATCAAGCTATAGTGTGTCAGACAGTGTATTACTGGTAAGCCAAATATGGTGATACAAACCTCTTCGGGATAGAGATCGCGTAAATCATAGCGAGGCATGTGCTCTGTGAATCCAATGGTCTTGTAACCAACAGAAATAGCATGTTTGACAATATCTTCGAGTTGATCTTTGGCATGGCCGGGGCAGAACTCGCCCGAGTGTGAGTGTAATGTAAACGCCATGATATTTTGGGCTATTAGACTGTGATGTGAAGATGAGAGAGAGATGATGATGATGATGGGGGAAAGGGGAAAAGAGACACGAATCTCAGGTCATAAAATACTTTTAACTTGAGATTGGCATCGTCAAGGAGTTACCATGTAAACGAGTGGTTGAGTTTAAAGACTCATCAATTTCAAGACGCTTCAAACTTGATAAATCTATGGCTGAAGTTGGGCAGAGTCTCCACAATTCCCCAGTTTCTGGTTACTCAAATAGGCTTATTTTCAACACACACATGCACGAATACTCGATGACTACTTGCCAAGACATTTCCGACGCCTTCTCAAAAGAACCCGACGAGGCTGTACTCTGATAACTTGTACATTGACAAGATAATGCACCCATTTTTAAGCTCTGACAAGTTCATGTACAATTGTAGATATACCAAGTTCTTCATTTCCAACCAATCGCTTCCTTTAACGCCATGCATTCCGAAATCCACTAACTTAGACTATGTAATTCAAGATCCATGCCGAGGATATCACTTCACGACTTTTCATATGTCGCAACATCCCCGTAAGAGTATAACCCAGGCGCCATACTAATATATCGCCCAGGCACTAATCCTCCGCTGTTATCAGCACTTGTTTGTGAAACCATTGGTGGTCTCGCTGCTTTTCCTTCGTCCTGCACGATGCCGATGCCGTAGCTTCGGGTCCCCGCGGCCCCCTTACTCCATCCAAGATGGAACGTCCTTCGACGAAGGCATCGCGCTAGATCGTCATCTCCCATCCATTCTGCTCCGTCTGGCAAGCGCCACCACAAGGTTGAGTCTGCAAGAAGGCTTGCTTGAGCGGCAATACTACCAGGGCTCTTGGTCAGAGTCCCACGAGATGCCGTACGTAGCGAAAGGAGTCCGAATGCGAGCGTAAAGCCTAGTAACCCAATGAGGACAAACGTTTGCACACTTCCTTGCATCAGACGCGGGAGAACATAATCAACCGAGGCTGGAATATCGGTTTGAGATTCATCACGAGCACGAAGCTTAGATGACAAGGGGCGTCGTATCAAGTCACTATTGATTGCCTGCGCAGCAAGGATTCCATGCAATTGGCGGATCGCTTGAGAAACTGAATTCTGCCTCTCAGGCATCACAATACGCTCTAGAGTTGTTTGTAACCTCGAGAGCACCAAGGTACGGAAGAATGCATCGAGACCGTTCATGGTTTTGTTATCAGCGCCAACATTATTAAGTGTTTCATAAACACTCGTGATATCCGCCGTCACATCTGATGGCGTCTCACTCGATGCATTCACAATGGGAATAGCATTCAGGTTGATGTTCAGGTCCTCAGTGCGGAATGTTGTGTAGACATCAACCCCGACAACTGATTGATTGCACATCATGACAGAAATCATGCCGTCATCTGAACAGCTACCCCAAATATACTTGAGGGAGTATTTAGAAGAGAGTTGTGAGCATGAAGACGCAACAAGTGCAGTTCGAGATTGATCAGATCCACAAATGGGTTGCTTCGTGGATCCTCCCAACCGTACACATTGCCAATCCACACCTTCACCTCCATACAGAGATATCGTCTCGCAGGTGAGTTTGCCCCTGAGACTCGGGACTTTGGCCACAAGCTCTGTGTTTGGAAGTGGCCACTCGCTTGGGTGGTCGACAAGGGAAACCGCTGGAAGAGCAACATCCTCCCATGTCCATCTCGGGTACTTGGGAGTTTCTCTTAGGAGCACATTCTCGATTGTATCGCTGTCCATGGCGGTGCTCAACGACTTGGTTGTCGATATAAACTGCGACTCTGGTCGAAGCTCAAGGTTGGCCCTCTGTGCCATCTGAGCAACAGCAAACAGTCCTGCAGTAAAGATTGGCATCAACCAGCCAAGCATCGAAGTGCATTTGGCAAGGAAAACGGCCCAATCTTGGTTTTTCATGGCCTTTCCAGCTGTATGCAGACCAAACTCGTTCATGTACGTCAGCCCCAAAGACTCCTGAAATCGGCATTTTGAGTTGGTGAGCTTCAAGAAAGGGGCAAGGCGTCGGTTGTCTATATCGATTCGGGTCCAGAAGATGGCGAGAGCGGCAAAGATTATGGTTGGAAGGCAGGTCCAAACAATGAACATGTTATCATTGACTTCTAGGCCATTTTCGTTGCCCTTCAAGTTATAAAGGACACAAATCCCAACAATTAACGCAACAGAAACAACAATACTGATAAGCTTGGTTCGAGTGCCTTGTGTCCATGGCTGATATGTCCCAGTGGCCTCCTCTGGTCGGTTGGAAGGGTTCATGCCGAGGGCACCACTTCCTCCACCATGTTGTCTCAGCTGGAACATTTCCTCCGGTCGACGTCCAGGTTGTGTGAGTTCTGTCGTATACCATGAGCCTGCTAACCTACCAGCAACAGCATTCATATCTGCATGTCCAGTACCTGATAATCGTGAGAGGAATTGCTGGCTGCTTGTTAGAAGTGCCGCAGTGCCGGCTGGAGAAGTAGGGTCTCGAGGCGCAATACCTCGAGGCGATGGTGCATGGTACAACATGGGAAGAAGTACACCAGAGATGATAAGGAAGACGCCAACCATAGCGTGAAGGACGCCAAGCCTGGCTCGGAGTCTGGTAGTGCTGTCGACATGAATTTCGGCATAAAAGACGGCAGTAGAAAGAACGATCTGAGCACGGAGGAGAAACTTGATAGCGATAGATGCGACAACGAGATGGTGGCGGTTTCGAAATGCTTTAGTTAATGCTTGAAAGCTCCCAAGGCTAGGATAGTCGAGTAGAATGGTTCGGTGAGCTTGCTTGCGGCGAGTTTCGTCAACAGTTGTTGGTCGGCGATCGAGAACAATCCATGGCATATAAAGCAGTGCTTGAGCTTCGACTCGTGCCCAAAGGATGGCCATAATAGAAACGACTTGATATATGTGAGCACTTAGACGGACGAAGATCCCAACCACACAGAGTAAGGATCCTGACGATCACTCACCAACAACGGGTCCAAAAGTCCACAGGCCCTTGAGGCTGCTATCAACTTCATTATTGGAAAGCCACCACATCACTACCTCGCCAATTACAGCCAGCATTATGGACGCGCCAATGAATATGCTGGTTACTCTTCGGCGCAGCCACCAAGGTCTCCAGCCATTGTTGAGAGGGATCTCTGTAGCATCTAAATGATCGGTTCCACGGCTTGCATCGCCCCACGATCCAGGTGTATGAGGCGGGGTGTCAAAGTAAGGCGTCTCCAGAACCGTCTCCATCATGTTTGATGCCTTGGTCGATAGTCGAGGGTCTGTAGCGGCTGTTGCGCCAGACATGCGCGGCGAGTTGAAGCCATCGCTGGTAGGGGAATTGGGGAATTGTCCCCTCTGTAATGGGCCTGGACTCGGCGGATAGAAAGGACTGAGAGGAAAGCCAGGACTCGAGGGACTGTTGAGAGATTGAAAACTGGCTGGACTGCGCGGACTAGAAGGACTTCTTGGACCAGGTGATACCCTTGCGATGGGCGGCGACAGAAGAGGTTGAGGAATTAGACGGGCTGTAGAGTTGGTAGGTTGTGAAGAAGGATGTCGGATATAACTAAGGCCGGACGATGATGCTGTATATCTGGAGTCGTCGTAGGGTCCAACGACGATCTTGTCGTGATCGGCATCAGATGACGGCATACCCATGGAATTCCATGGTGCTGCCATGTTTTGTCACTGCAAGTAACTGAAGACCTATAAAGAGAGAGAGGAGTAAGAGAGGCTAGGCGAGAGGCCTCAAGACATGATCCATATGGTGAACCTCGAGATGTGAGGTTATTCAGTGATTAGTGGATGATGATTAGATGAAGAAACGAATGACAGTACAAAACGAGCGTGGAATATTAATCAATCGAGAGAATGGACAAGGTAGGTAAAGAAGGAAGATTAGGAATACATCAAAATATCAGAGGAAAGGAAAGAGTAAACGTCAGTCAATCCAGATCGGATAGTTGTTGCCGCGCCACGCCACTCTAGATCCTTTCGACCTACGGATGCAAATACTACCTCCCCTCAAAAAGCTACAGCCACAACCTTCACGACAAATAATGCATTTACATATTCAACTTAAGCGCCGCATTCTGGTGCTATATTGGGTCGATAGTCTCTAAATCCTCGTCCATAAACTGCTCTCAACCCCTGAAAGAGCCCCTCACCTCCACCATCTGAGAACCAGAGCTTACATGCCATGTGCAAGAGGAGCAGTGCAATGCTACTCTAGCAGAATAGAGCCAAACTAGTATTAGACAAGCTGACACTCACTAGCAGACTGATCTGATCGTTCTTTTCAGTTCAGCTCAGCTCGGCATCTCCATCTTCAACTGAATCAACCGTCCAAGGCTTACGCCATCAAACTTTGGTCCACCGTTATAACCGCGTCGTTACCTGATCTAACTACGGTACCTGCAGACGCATCGTGAGAAAGAAAATCATTAATCGAAACCTATACGTAGACTGGTCTGATTTCCCCTCTTCTTATTTTAGCTCACTACACCCCAGGCTCATAGAGGAGGAGACGGAGTAGCCAAGCTAGCTTCGCTTCTTGTCTGGAACTCTTAGATGCAACTGTCTCCGGCGCTTGGCTTTTTCTTAACTCCAAGAGTCCATTATGACTGCCATCCTGTTTTTTCTTGTTTTTTCTTCTCTTACCATTAATAGCTTTTTCAATAGCTTGCGACGCCACGCGTCAAAATTCTCAGACGGCCCCTGAACTCTTGATGAACGCAATGGGCTGCTAGTATTTATCAAGTTAGTAAAAGGGGACAAGAGGAACAAAAGAGAGCAAAAATCTCCGTAGTCTGCCCACACAAGACTAAAGGGCCTCGACAGGGAATATGATATATCATGCGAGATACAGGGTTTGCACATGATGAGTCTGGACTCATCTTGATAATCAACCTGACCTGGCTTGACAAGCCTCAATCCAAAAAGAGACAATGCCTCTCAAGACTGAGTATCGAGTCTAATCAACCCCTGTCCTTGGCCCCCATCCCCGAGCGCCGCACCGTTGGCGCCGTCGCCGTAGCGTGGTCGACCGTCAGGGTTTAATGCAAGGGGAAATTGCTCTTTTGACAAGTTAATCGCCACATGCGGGAAGCCCGCTGCAAATGTCTTAGAAGCTCCGTTAAAAGACGCTCATTTACACATGAAAAGTCTATTAACGATAAAGTTGTACGTCACCAGGTATAGCTTAGCCAAGGGTCATTCCGTTAGACAGAGATCACGTAAAATGGCTGTGATCAGCATGCAGAACATCTCGTCCGAGCAATCCGTGTGCAATAGACTCGGCATATCAGCCTTATCTAGACAACGATGTAACCTCTCAGCACACCAAACCTGGCAAGCTGCACGCCAAAGGGGGATCACGAGCATCACGGGTAGTGACATGGCCTAAATATGCAAGCAAGATCATGGATGATTGTCAGGTTTAATCGAGAGAGCTCAAGCTACTATGAAGCGGGACAGACTAGTAAATATTTGGAGATATCAATACGAACATTTGATGAAGCCTGACAAAGACAGATCATTCACAAGTATCCATTTTCTTTCTTTAATTGGATTTCTTTGGTTTCTAACGTTTTGAAAAGTCTGAACACCACCGCTTCCCATCGCTCTCCTCAGAAATGATAAAAGGCATACAAGTCATGGACCAAACACACCTAAAATAGTCCTGTTATATACAAGTTGACATGTAACCTATCATCCAGAACCCGCTCTCATTGTCTACTATCCCGTCCCGAAACGCCTGTCTAGATAGCCAAGCTTTTCACCCTCTCCCCTTTATCCCCTTGCCTCGCCGTCCCTCCTCTTACACATCAACAACTCAATTCCTCCACGACAAGATACAATAAACAATGACAAGAGAAAAGAAAGGTCAAAAGCATTAAAAAAGGTTGGCCAGGTCGCCAGGATGGAGCCGAACGAATAAGTAAAAGGGACGTGGGGGCTCTACCCCTTTGTAGGCGTTAGGCGTGAGGGGAAAGTGATGCAGGGCCGGGGCAGCCGACCTGTAAGTCTATAATGAAGAGCAAGGCACATGCCGCATCGTCGTCTCAACATGATGAAGAAAGAGCATGGTGAAGGGAAACATTTCGAGGTTGGGGTGCTCATCGCGAGCGATTTTCGTAGTGACTAGCTGATCACCGCGTCGTAGTGGTAGGAGTAGTCATCACAATCCACCTGAAGGGTATCGAAGTGTTAAAAAAGAAAAATGGTGCACTAGTGAAAAGGTATAGATTTTTTTTGGTATAGTTTTAGGAAGATCAGCCGTCGGTGTATGATTTTGATCAGTTCCATCCGAGAGAGTTCTCAGCAGCAACAGGGGCAGAGATGTACGCTGTTCGTGCAGAGTTGCCCATACCACTGCGTCCACTGCCATGGCTGTCACGACCGCCAGGACGGACTGGGCCTTGCTCAGCATGTGTTCCGCCATATGCTGAGAAGTCACGGCTCATTAAAGCACCTCCCATGAGAGCAGGGCTGCCGTTACCGGTGTACTGCATCTCTGAAGAACGCTGGCTGCTGCCAATGGAACTAGCACGGCGGTGGCCCAGCTGCTTCTTGCGCTTGTATCGTCGGGCGACCAAGAACATAGCAGCACCGTACATGACACTGAGGCCAACGGCACCGACAGCAATACCAGCAGTAGTGGCCTTCTGCTTAGCGGACTTGTCGCCCTCACCACTGTTTCCAAAGACATCGCGGTTGCCGCTGTTACCGTCATCCGAGTTACCGTTGTCGGTGTTGCTGCCGGTATCCGAGTCACCAAAGATGTCGATCTTGGTGTTGATGACAGAGGTCAGGTTACGAACGATCTCAAGATCATTGTTGTACAATGGGGAGTTGGGGGTAATGAGATCAGCCTGAAGGCTGTCGATCATGTTCTCGGGATAATGGATCTTGGCCAGAGCAGTGATGTATCCCCACTGGGACTGTGTGTCAAGAGGAACAATCTTGCTAACAAGAATGCGGTCCTTGGAGAAGCCACCAGCATCAGCAAGACCTTTGGGGAGGTACTTGAAAAGCTGAGCAGCTGCGACCGTGTTGCGAGCCAGGAACTTGTAGTTGAAGGGGAACAAGAAACCCAGTTGGATAGGAACAGAGCCCTCAGGGATAGGCTTGTTGGGGTCGTTAGGAAGGATGACACGAGGAATGTTAGCAGGAAGTCCCGTGGAGGTTGAGGTCTCAGTTGGCTGCGAGGGCGCAGCGGGGATAGACGTAGGCTCAAAGACAATGGTGGTGGGCAGCCAGTTGTTGGTGTTGGTGAGGGTGGCAGTAGGTCGAATGCTGGTAACAGGAACAGCAGCTGTGGGGACCAGAGTAGTAGGGGCGGGCTCGGGCTTGGTCTCGGTTTCAACAGGAGGCTGCGAAGTGGGCGCAACTGAGGGCTGCTCATTTGTTGGGGCAACAGCTGAGGTCTGCTCGCCTTCGGACGCAGGAGCGCTTTGAGTCTCAACGCCAGTAGCAGGCTTAGTAGGCTCAGCGGTGGCAGTGCCGTTGGTCTCTGCATCTGTCTCGGTGGCAGGGCTGCCAGTAGGAACAGAGCCGGAAGCTGTGTCAACAGGCTTGGTGGCAGGCTCGGTAGCGGGCTCAGTGGCAGGTTCAGTGGCAGGTTCAGTGGCAGGTTCAGTGGCAGGTTCAGTGGCGGGCTCAGTAGCAGGTGCTGTGGTGTTTCCTGAGGGCTCATTGGTAGAATCTCCCGTAGGGACGGCAGTCTGGGTGATGTTTGTTGGCTCCTCAGTGTTGACATCGGTAGGCTCGGGGGCACCGGTGGTCTGAGGCTCGCCCGTAACATTAGGAATAGTCTCAGTTCCGTTGACAGGCTCACTTGTAGGCTCGGGCTTAACATCAATACCAGATGTCACTTCAGGAACAGTTGTGTTAGGAGCATCAGTAGGTCCAACACTGCCGGTTTGGGGGAACTTGGTGTTGGGGTCGACGAATGAAGTAAGATCCGGGGAGCCGCTTTCCGATTGTTCAGGGGGGGAAACAGTTGTAGGAATCACAGGAGAAACAGTGACCGGGCTTGAGGGCTCAGGAACAGCAGAGGTGACATCAGTAGGAACAGGAAGGACATCCGTAGGATCGGGCAGAATGCTGGTAGGGATGAGCTCAGGAGGACCAGTAGTCTCAGGCTCGGTTGAAGGAGCAGCGGAAACGGTCTGCTCAGAACCATTGGGGGCAGCAGAGGTAGGCTGGCTATCCACAGGAGCTGAAGATTCTTCAGGAGATGTGGTCTTGACATCAGGTTGGTTGGGCAAGACGGAGCTGAGAAGGGTCTCAACGGGATCCAGGATACCGTCCTTGGAAGTCTCACCAGCATTGGGGGCAGCAGTGGTCTCGTCAGCGGGAGGGCTGAAGGTTGGGAGAGTCTGACCATCAGTTTGAGGCTTGGAATTCTCACGCTGAGGTTCCTTGGTGGGTGTTCCGGTCTCCTCAGGTTGGGAGATAGACTCAGTTTGGTCAGGGGTAGGGTCCTTGGTCTTGTTGTCGGCGGGATCAGCAAGAACTGAAGACAAGAGAGTCTCAACGGGATCGAGCAGTCCCTTGGTAGTAGGAGCAGGCTTCTCAACAGATGGGCTTGTGGTCTCGGGCTCAGCGGGCTTAGCGGTCTCGGTCTCAACGGGAGCTGGCTGTGTCTCCTTCTTGATGTCGGTCTTGGCTGGCTCAGCCTTGTTGGTCTCGGTGTTGACTGGCTTAGGCTCCGTGGTCTTGGAGTCGGCAGGATCAGCAACAACGGAAGAAACAATGCTCTCAACAGGGTCCAACAGTCCTTCCTTAGTGGTTGGAACTGCAGCGGGCTTAGTCTCTTCAGGCTCGGTCTTGGGCTTCTCAGTGGTCTCAACTGCTGGCTCCTCGGTCTTAGTCTCAACAGGGGCAGGCTTGGTCTCCTTCTTAGGGTCGGAAGCGACGGGGAGCACGGATGTCAAAATGCTCTCGACAGGATCGAGAAGGCCCTTGGTAGCACTGGGCTTCTCAGTCTTGGACTCGACTGGCTTCTCGGTCTTGGTTTCAACGACAGCGGGCTCGGTCACGGTCTCGATGGGGACAGGCGCCTCGGTCTTTGTCTCGACGACTGGCTTCTTTTCAGGAGTCTTGACGGATGAGGGATCGTTGGCAGCAGGTGCT